TTTCGCTCCCTCCCTCCCTGCTGCCTGCCTCCCTGCCCTTCCTCTCTCTCTCCCTCCCTCTCTCCCTCCCTCCCTCCCTCCCTCCCTCCCTCCCTCCCTCCCTCCCTCCCTCCCTCCCTCCCTCCCTCCCTCCCTCCCTCCCTCCGCCTCCTCCCTCCCCCCTCCCTCCCTGTCTCCCTCACTCCTTGCATCCGTCCCTTCCTCCCTGCCACCCTGCCTGCCTCCCTGCATCCCTCCCTCTCCACCTTTCTCCATGCCTCCCTCACTCCGAGCTCTCCCGTCAATTTGCTCAAAGTTCTCGTACGCGGTCTACCTCTCCACTTTTGTTTTGGCCAGTGTTTTTAGGTCACAGAAACACGGAGGTTTTGAGCTACACTGCACTGGGCAAGCTCTCACATGTCTTTCGGCTTCATGCAAATTTCAGAGACATGGATTACAGTATGCCATGCCAAGGTATTAGGGCGTGTTCCTACGGCCCCTTATCAGGGACACCTCGTATCAGCTTCGCATTTTTGCCTGGTAAAAGTAGCGAGAGTTTTTGGGTTTAGGGAAATTTCAGTGTGTTGTGACGCGAGCCTGATAAGAGGTTGGCCTGATAAGGGGCCGTAGGAACACGCCCTTAGCCTGTGCAGAAACAAGAGTGCCTCTTATGATTTCCTTGCTCCCACAAATCCAAGATTATTATTTTCTTCTGCAAAAGGCCAAAACTACTGTCATAACATATGGTATCATTTACCAGTACCGTAAGTCAAGTCTAACCGAAGGCATTTTCTCATGAAGAAGCTGTTATCTCTCGCGACTTGCACCTGAGGCTTGTGATCCCTTATTGATCACCTACGTTCTTCAGGACTCCTTGGCACAACGAGGAAAGGACACTTACGGTAGGCAAAAAATGAAGGCAAACCAGTATCACCAACATTAAAGTAATTATGTACCTCAACACCTCGAGTTTTTCTTCCATCTTAGCTTTCTTCTGTAAGACAACCACAAGAAGAATTCAGAAACATGAATAAATCACGTAAGGGCTGCAGCATAAGGAAGTATATCACGCAAGCAGCATACACGTTGAAGCTGGAAGGAATAATCCATCCTCGTCCTTTCCTTCAAATGTCACATTTGTATGAATGTGAATGGGTTAGCAGGGAGAGGCGGGTGAGTGTACAAATTGTATATACTGTATATAGCGAGCGGCGCAGTGCCGAGGATGGGAAGTGGAGGGTCGAAGGGGTGTTTGAGGGAAGCAGAGGGGCAGGATGTGGGAAGGAAGGGTCTCCTGAGCCCGTGGCTCCGCCAGGTCTCTCTTCGCCCATTCCTTCCGCGCCGTGCGCGTTCGTCTCCGTTCGTGGCTCTCGCACGTTCCCTTCTTCACCTTCCGTCATCTCGCCTTCCTTCTTCAAATCTTTTACAGCGAAATCTAATCCTGACCGCGTGGGCCTGCATCCTCCTAGAGTGAGTACATCACAAGGAGCAGCAGCAGGAGAGGAGGAGATAGAGAGGGAGAGGGCAGCATGCAGGGACATGGGGACCGAGAGGGAGGAGAAACCCAGAGTGATGAGGGAGAGCAGAGGTAACAGGCGGAGAAAGCAGAATGGATGAAGTGAGGTGGTGAGATTCCGACACAAAAGCTCGTTAATCTGCAACAAGGCAAGGGGTAAGTTCTGGCAAATCGGTCAGCCTGCAATGGAGTACCTAGAGAAGCTCTATTGCGTGCCAGAGTCTGCATAGTTGAGCGGAGGCTTTCACTACATGCAAAGCTCTCATTAAGAATAGAGACTTTCCTTTCCAGTTCGACGACCTCTTCAGATTTGTCATGCAAGCGGCTTTCAGCATCGCAAAGACTTGCTTCCACCTGCAATGCGTAAGGTATGGATCAGCATTATGGAGAATATAGACGAGCGGCATTCAGAAAAGAAAGAGAACAAACTCGCATTACTCTCCTTGGTCAGCTTGTCCTTGGCGATCTCAAGTTGACACTCCACATTCTGCCTCCATTCGATATGTTTTTCACGAGCAACAAGGTTCTCATAATATGATACACCAGGTGCCTTGACGCAGTCCTTTAAATCAAGGATACGCTTCTCGACCAAAGCTCTGGCAGCCTCAAACTGCAAAACACTGGCATATAAATACTCAACGACGGAGATAAAGGTTGCGAAGGTGAATGCTACTTACAGTATCGGGAGGGGTTTCACAACGCCTATTCAAAATTGCTAATCCATTTTGATAATGCTCCTTAAATGGGTCACTCAAAACAGATGAAGAGGACGACGTGGTTGGAGCCTCCTCGTTATTCTGCTTATCTAATGGAGGCATCTCTTCGTCGTGCGAGTAGACTGGCGGTGAAGTTGAAGCGTGCACCATTTTGGCTGTGGACATCCTCCCTGACAGTAGAAGCACGATTCGGAGAGGATTGTAGAAGAAGCACAATTCTGGTCGTATAGGTGGAGTGGCTTTTTATACCACCCACGCGTTTGTTGGGTTGGGCTGTGACGGAAGGTTCACTTTTGCCAAGCTCGCGTCACAATCGTTTTTTCGCCACCCTGTTGTCCCCGTTGTGCTGCTCCCCGATTGGGACGCCCGCGCAAAAGTGAACCCCACCCTTTCGAGCATAACAAAGATACAACCCTCAGTCGTTTCTTTGTTTGCACGAATGCACATAAATTAAGTTCGTGAGAGGCCACCACATTCGTCCTAGAATCTACTTTGCCAGAAACATATAAGTATAAGCAGCATAAATGATAGCATAAAATCGTCATACACCGCAGTGAAATATCGCATCACTTATAAAAGAACCTCAGCAGTTGTCTCGCTATTACACATATACCACCGGTACAACCCGAACCATACACTCTGCTTTCATGCTATCACACATTTCATCATCCAGGTGACAATATCAAATGCCTTCAGTCAACCCAGTGCCACGGCAGATGAGAAGCTTTAGTTGCTCCATCACTCCATGCCACACCAATCCTCCACCCACTTAGAATCAAATCCCTTCAGCCGAACCAGCAGCGTAGCAGATGAGAGGCTTCCTCGTCTCCTTGGCAGCAGCCTTCCTAAGATCAGCCATGGTGAATTCATGCCCCTCCTGGCAGCTCTCATACAGGTTTAACATGCTGCCACTTCTCTCACCTCGCACGCCTGCTGCCACTCTTCTCACGTTGCAAGCAAGCTGCCGCTCCTTACACAGTGCACGCTTGGTGCTCTACTTCCTCTGCCGCTTCTTCTGATGCTGCCGACTTTAGAGGCGCCTCAAAAGCCTTACACAGTGCACGCTTGGTGCTCTACTTCCTCTGCCGCTTCTTCTGATGCTGCCGACTTTAGAGGCGCCTCAAAAGCCTTACACAGTGCACGCTTGGTGCTCTACTTCCTCTGCCGCTTCTTCTGATGCTGCCGACTTTAGAGGCGCCTCAAAAGCCTTACACAGTGCACGCTTGGTGCTCTACTTCCTCTGCCGCTTCTTCTGATGCTGCCGACTTTAGAGGCGCCTCAAAAGCCTTACACTGTGCACGCTTGGTGCTCTACTTCCTCTGCCGCTTCTGAAGCTGCCGCCGCAGACGCTGCTGCTGCTGGTGCTCCTCCCCCCCTTGCTGCTGCTGCGCTGTCGGTACTGATGCTGCTTCTGATGGTGTTGCAGCAGCTGCTGCTGATGATCCTTCTGCTGCTGCTGATGATCCTTCTGCTGCTGCTGGTGCTGACCCTTCTGCACCTGCTGGTGCTGACCCTACTGCACCTGCTGGTGCTGACCCTTCTGCAGCTGCTGCTGGTGCTGACCCTTCTGCAGCTGCAGCAGCTGCTTCAGCTGCCACCGCCTCCGCCTCTGCAGCTTGAGCACGCTGCCAAACGCCTTCCAGAGGCTTCATCCATGTTGGCAGTAATCCCGGTTTACCCCAGTTTTTCCTAGTCTCCATTTCTGTGTACTTGTCGCTAAGGTACACCCACCACGGCATCATCCTCGCCCTATTCTCCCGTATGAAATCCACCTCCTCATCCTCCAGCAGACCTTTCACGAATCTTCTCATCTCGCTCAAGGCCTCTGCGCCCTTCTTTCTCCCATGCTCATCATCCGTTTTCAACACCCGTGTAATTGCCGCCCAATACCCCGCTCCCTCCTGCCTGTCAAACCTCCCTCCAGTCTGGTTTTCATGTGATACACTCACTATAACATAAAAAGCCCCGTCGATAAATTTTACCCCCGAAAACTGACTCTTTGAGTCATCTACCGACTCCATTGTACCCTCCTCCGTTCCCTCCGTCCCCTTCCCATGCTCCATCCACCAGTCCGCCACCCGGTCTTTCCCCGTTGCCACCCACTCCTTGTCCACTAGCACCGCCCGATGCTCCCGCTTCTCCCCCGTCTCTATCCCTAACGCAGCATCCCTCTTTTCCACCAGGGCAGGGGGAACGCGACCCAAGGGGTGGTCTTGGGGGGACAGCATGAGGGTAGGCCGGCCGAGGGGAACGGGGTCTCGTCGATCAAACTGCCATGTGTTCCAGAATTTGCCGTACGTCTTGACGAGTTTCTTCAGCTGCTGCTGCTGCAGGGTTTCTGGCACTCCTGGGTTCACCCACAGGCCCTCGCAAATCTGCCAAGGAGACGAGGAGGGGGTGGAGGAGGAAGGAGGGTCAAGGAAAAGGGCTTGGAAATCTGGTATGACTGAGAATGCAAATGATGCAACCAGAATGTAGCGGCGATGTGCTTCACCAGTGCATGCTTCAAACATGCATGCACACGCGTGCGCGTGCACCCATGCGCTCACACCCATGCGCTCACACCCATGCACTCACACCCATGCACTCACACCCATGCACTCACACCCATGCGCTCACACCCATGCAATCACACCACATACATGCACACCACATGCATGCCAATCCTATGCACACCACATGCATGCCAATCCTATGCACACCACATGCATGCATGCATGCATGCTTGCCTCATAGTAGTGAGAGTGCCACAGGCGCTTCTCATCCTCTGGAAGCTTCTCAAACACCGCCTCCGATACGATGTACTCCACACCTGGGGGTGAAGGGTGAAGGGGGGTGATGGGTTGGAATGACACAGGCTTTAGGAGCGTTTGATCTGGAAGCTTCTCAAACACCGCCTCCGATACGATGTACTCAACTCCTGGGGGTGAAGGGTGAAGGGGGTGATGAGTTGGGGGCAACACAAACCACAGGCTTTAAGAGCATTCGAGCATGTAATTATTAGCCACTGACTCACTCGCATCATACTCCACACGTGGGGGTTGATGCGTTGGAGAGTGATGGGTTGAGGTGGCAAACAAATGTATAAAGCATTAAAACACTTGATTCTTCTACACCGCCTCTGGTGCAATAAATTGCAATGTATGTACACAGCCGAAGGTTAATGGTTGAGGCGGCGAAACTCACCAATAATGCGTGCGTTGGGCTGGTCGCAATCAAAGACGATGCATTGCAGGAAGTCCTCTGAGAGGCGCGCCACCAGCCATCTAGCTGAACAAACCAGCACATATGGACCGGCTTACCAACGATGCGCGCGTTGGGCTGGTCACTGTCGAAGACGATACATTGAAGAACGTCCTCTGTCAGTCGCGCCACCAGGTGGTGCGTCTCGATCATGCGCCCAGGGCTCTGCGCGTAGTGCGCCCACGTGCTCACGTGCTGGCAAAAGGACTTCAACGGGCGGAACGACTGCAGTTGCAAGGTGCTGAATTCGAGTGCTTTAGTTGCCTCGGAGAGGGGTTCGCCAGGAACCTGGGAGGAGGGGAAGGGAGAGTGGTCGAGGGAAAGGAGAGAGCGGCTAAGGTAAGGGAGTGAACAGTGAGTGCTTACGTGCTGGAAGGAAGAGTGGTCGTGACTTCTGAATTGACTCTCAAAGGTCGCCTACCTCTTCAGGGCGGGACGGGGAGGGCGATGCCTCCCTCGCGTGAGAGCTGGACGCCATCCCGCGCGCTGCTACCGTTGCTGCCGCTGAGATTGCTGAGATCTGCCGAGAACTGCTGAGATCTGCTGAGATCTGCTGAGATATGCTGAGATCGCTCCTGCAACTGAGTGATCGGAACCGCTGCTACCGCTGGGAACCGCTGCGCTCGACGGCTACTTGGCAAGTAGCTGTACTTTGAGACTTTAGAAGAATACTCGGCTGGAACTACTAGGTGAAGAATACGCAGCGACTGCGTCACTGCGATGTTCGAGGCTCGAAAGCTGTTTGGCTAGGCTAAGGAAATGGAGCAGTGAAAACGGAAAGCGGAAAACGAACGACTCGGGTGATTCACTCTGGCGTGGTGAGGAGCGGAGCCTTTTTGGCACGACAGCGAAGAAGCTTTGCCAAGCTTTGTCAGAGATAACGGAACGCGGGGGCCTGCGCGTTCCCCCGTCTCCTTTGGAGCTCATGCGCCCGCGCGCGCAACCGAATCCGCTTGAGGCGTTTGCTGCGCCCTCCATGCCCCCAGCGGATCCGCGAAGCGTCCATTCGCGTCCCCCGATGCCCCTGTCTCCCATTCCGTGCGCGGATATCGGCGAAAGGATGCGACGCGGCGTATGGACGCGCGGTGCTGCGGCTACTCGCGGAAGCGCGACGCGATTGCTGTCTCTTCAGGTGGTTGCTGGCAGTGTCGCATGACCCCTCCTGTGCCCGTGACAGTTACGAGGAAGCGCGATTGGTTGACAGGAAGGCTATTCTCTTAATAATCAGCGTCAGTAACGATACATCTATAATGCCACTCATCCCTCTAATTTTCTCACCAATCCAATAATGATGTGAAGTCAATCTACCTGAGTAACGTTGATTGGATATGGACATTCATTGGCTTGAGAAGCTACAAACTGAAAATTAGCTCCTAAGGTCCCTCTATAATCACACGCTTCCTTCACCAGGCGATACTACAATAAAACCAGATGCCTTCAGCCAAGCCAGGACCATGGCATGGCATAGTATCCCCTGCTCCACGACTCCACTCAATTTCCCCACCCAATCATCATTAAACCCTTCAAATGACACCGCGCCGGCACCGCCGTGTGGCAAACAAGTGGCCCCCTTTTCTCCAGTGTTGAGATGAGAAAGATCCTTAGGAGAATCATTAAGAGACTGAAGCTTGCTAAACACCAAGACTCTACTCCATCCCCTCACCACCCAATCATCATCAGATTCCTTCAGCCGACCCAGCAGCGTAGCAGATCAGAGGCTTCCTCTTCTCCTTGGCAGCAGCCTTCCTCAGATCAGCCATGGTGAATTCATGCCCCTCCTGGCAGCTCTCATACAGATACACATACTCCAGCGACGAACACGACCCCAGCAGCTCCAACAACGCTTCAAAGTACCTATGCGCGCACAGCCCGATCGAAAAAACTTTCAGCTTCGGGCACCTCGAAGAAAGGGCTTTTACCAGGTCGGGCAGGTCGGCGCGGTCGTCTCGCTCACAGAAGGGCAGGATGAGGGTTTCGAGGGAGGTCCAGTGGCGGGCGGCGGAGACGAGGGAGATGTAGGTGAGGGAGTGCGCGAGGGCGAATACGTTGAGGTGGGTGAGGTTGGGGTTGAGTGCTGCCAGTGCCACCAGGCCTGCGTCTGTGATGTCTGCGTTGCAGCGGATGAGCAGCGAGCGCAGGGACGGGCACGAGCGGCCCACCTCCTCTAGAGCCTCGTTCGTGGCCCACTGGGGGGAGGAAAGGGAGGGGCAAGAGAGCAGAGGGGCAGAGGGGCAAAGGGCAAAGAGAGGGGTACAGGGCAGAGGGGCAGCGGGGCAAGGGGCAAGGAAGAGAAAGGGAGGGGCGTGGGGCAGAGGGAAAAAGACGTTGAGGTGGGTGAGGTTGGGGTTGAGTGCTGCTAGTGCCACCAGGCCTGCGTCTGTGATGTCTGCGTTGCAGCGGATGAGCAGCGAGCGCAGGGACGGGCACGAGCGGCCCACCTCCTCTAAAGTCTCGTTCGTGGCCCACTGGGGGGATGGGCAAAAGGAGGAGCACGGGGTAAAGGGACGGGCACGGGGCAAAGGGACGGGCGCGGGGCAAAGGGAGGGGCACGGGGCAGAGGGGCAGAGGGAAAAAGACGTTGAGATGGGTGAGGTTGGGGTTGAGTGCTGCCAGTGCCACCAGGCCTGCGTCTGTGATGTCTGCGTTGCAGCGGATGAGCAGCGAGCGCAGGGACGGGCACGAGCGGCCCACCTCCTCTAAAGTCTTGTTCGTGGCCCACTGGGGGGATGGGCAAAAGGAGGAGCACGGGGTAAAGGGACGGGCACGGGGCAAAGGGACGGGCGCGGGGCAAAGGGAGGGGCACGGGGCAGAGGGGCAGAGGGAAAAAGACGTTGAGATGGGTGAGGTTGGGGTTGAGTGCTGCCAGTGCCACCAGGCCTGCGTCTGTGATGTCTGCGTTGCAGCGGATGAGCAGCGAGCGCAGGGACGGGCACGAACGGCCCACCTCCTCTAGGGTCTCGTTTGTGGCCCACTGGGAGGAGGGCCATGGGGACGGGCACGGGACGTTGGGAAGAAAGAAGGCAAGGCTAGTTAGTTGGCAGGTTAGGGAATGTGAAGGGGTTGGGGTTGGGTTGGGAGCATGCAAAATATTGACACATCGGCATCACATCCCTTCCCAGGCCAGTCTCCTCCCCCTCCTTGCACCCCACCTTATTCACCATCATTTGACCTATGAGCAAACCTTGTTCATCACGTGCATGGAGTCATGACACGCCGCAGTCACATCTCCGAGCACGCGCAGCTGCTTGCACTTCCACCTATCAGCTCACCCACCAACCACCCCACCCATAAGCGCACCTTGTTCATAACATGCATCGAGTCCCGGCACGCAGCAGTCACACCCCCCAGAACCCTCAGCTGCTTGCACTTCGCCGCTACCGCCTCCACCCCCACCACCGTCGCATGCGGCTTTTGGGACACCCAACGATGGCCCGTGTGCTGCTCACCTTGTTCCCCATCAGCTCACCTTGATAGCTATCAACCCACCTATGAGCTCACCTTATTCATCACATGCATCGAGTCTCGGCAGGCAGCAGTCACATCCCCCAACACCCGCAGCTGCTTGCACTTCCCCGCTACCGCCTCCATCCCCACCACCGTCGCATGCGGCTTTTGGGACACCCAACGATGGCCCGTGTGCTGCTCACCTTGTTCCCCATCAGCTCACCTTGATAGCTATCAACCCACCTATGAGCTCACCTTATTCATCACATGCATCGAGTCTCGGCAGGCAGCAGTCACATCCCCAAGAACCCTCAGCTGCTTGCACTTCCCCGCTACCGCCTCCACCCCCACCACCGTCGCATGCGGCCCCACATACACCTCTTCCACCACCGCACACCACCGCGCTACCTCCCTCAGCATCCCATCCGTCGCCCCCAGCAGCGGGGGCCCGGAAGCCCCCGGGGTTTCGATCTTGAGGTTGCCCAGGTCGAGGTAGGTGAGCAGGGGCAGGGAGGAGAAGGCGCGTTCGAGCAGGCGCGGGTTGCCCTTGACGGTTTGGGAGATGACCAGATGGCGCAGGGCGGAGCACTGGGCCAGCTCCTGGGTTAGCATCTGTAGGAAGTGGGGGTAGTGGTAAGGGAAGGGGGTGGGGAAGGGAGGGGAGGAGGGGAAGGAGGGGACGGGTAGTGGTTTGTTATGGCACTAAAACAGGGGAGGTAGGTGAGGGGACCCGAGGCGCCCGGGGTTTCGATCTTGAGGTTGCCCAGGTCGAGGTAGGCGAGGAGGGGCAGGGAGGAGAAGGCGCGTTCCAGCAGGCGCGGGTTGCCCTTGACGGTTTGGGAGATGACCAGATGGCGCAAGGCGGAACATTGGGCCAGCTCCTGGGTTAGCATCTGATAGGGTTGGGGAAACGGGGTGGAGTAAAAAGGGAAGGGTGGAGTGTGGAGGGTGGGAAGAGGGGGGGTGGGTGGAGTGTCATCGGGAAGTTGGAGTACATACTCTGGAACAGCCAATTTGGCTGGAACAGGGGTCAACAGCCAATTTGGTTTTTGAGACGTCTCAAAACTCGGAGTGGTCATCGGGAAGTTGGAATACATACTCTGGAACAGCCAATTTGGCTGGAACAGACAAGGTGGTCAACAGCCAATTTGCAAGATATTTGTCACCTTGATGGAGATTTCTTTGGCGATTTTCTCTATGTGGGTAACATTACGTCCCCCTTCCAGGACCAGAGACTGCAGCGACGCCCCACACTTGTCAAAGAACCCAATCCGCATGAACTCAGCCCCTCCTCTCCCTCCTCTATTGCTCACCTTGATGGAAATCTCTTTGCTGATATTTTCAACGTTGGTAACGTTATGCCCGCCTTCCAGTACCAGAGACTGTAGCAGCGCCCCACACTTGTCAAAGAACCCAATCCGCATGAACTCAGCCCCACTCCCTCCTCTCCCACCCCCCACTGCCGCCCTCTCTCCTCCTCACCCTGATGGAGATCTCTTTGGTAATGTTCTCAATGTTAGTGACGTTACGCCCGCCCTCCAACACCAGAGACTGCAGCACGCACCTCACTTGTCAAAGAACCCAATCCGCATGAACTCAGCCCCTCCTCCCCCTCTCCCACCCCCCACCCCCCACTGCCAGCCCCTCCTCCTCACCTTGATGGAGATCTCCTTGGAAATATTGTCAATGTGGGTAACATTACGCCCGCCTTCCAACACCAGGGACTGTAGCGACGCCCCACACTTGTCAAAAAACCCAATCCGCATGAACTCAGCCCCTCCTCCTCCTCTCCCACCCCCCATCGCCACTCCCTCCCCTGCACCCGCCACCTCTCCCCCTCCTCCCCCTCCTCCTCCCCCCCCCACCTCCTCTTCCTCCATCGTATCCCACACCTTTGGCCCGCCCCCTCCTCCTGACCGCCCTCTGCCTGACTTTGACCCCACACTGCCATCCCGGGAGAATTTACTCGCGGGTTTTTCTGACCCGGAAAACCCGGGGGTAGTTTCTCCGCCTGGGGTAATTACCCCCCCAGGAGTCGCCATACCCGGAGTTGCAACAGCCGGGGTCGTAACACCCGGAGTTGAAACCGAACCGCTGGCACTGAAACTCCCACTCTGCATATTCACAGCACCGCCACCACCACCACCCGCTCCCCCTCCCCCTCCCGCTCCCCCACCCCCTCCCGCGCCCATAAACCCTCCCCCATACCCCATCCCCGTTTTAGGCAGCCCCTCTAGCAGGAAATGCGAGTCGACAAACTCCAGATTCTCCCAGGGCCGTTGATTTAGGATCCGTTTGAGATGCAGCAGCTCGAGCACGTGCAGTTCCCTGAAGTCATAGAGCCTGTCCGCGGAGCAGGGGCGGCGGTAGAGCGAGCAGTTGAGGGCGAGCGAGGTGACGCGCGGGAAGAAGGCGAGGGGGAGGGATTCGAGGAAGCGCGACGGCTGGGAGAGGTCCAGGTGGGTCACGGCGCGACGAGAACGCTTCTCCAGCCAGAACCAGCGCGGGGAGACCTGGAAGATGCATGTGGAGGGGAGAGGCGAGGGAGAGGCGAAGGGGAGAGGCCCACGAAAAAACACTGGGGGGTCTGCCTTCTTTGCACGGACTGCTCCTACCACTGGAAGCACTTTTGAGAATTCTCAAACGCGAGAAAGAAAGTCCTTTGACAATCGACCAAGTAGATGAAGTCGTTTTCATTGCCATAAAATGGCATTGCTGGAGCATTACCAGCGTGCAAGCCACGTGAAACAAGTGTTGTTTTGAGACGTCTCAAAATGGCAGAACAAAACTTATTTCACATTGCCATAAAATGGCATTGCATCAGAATGCACTGCTGGGAGGGGCATTACCAGCGCGCAAGCCGCCCGGTCTCGTGGCGATTCCACGCGCATCAGAATCTTAAGCAGCACCGGATCCGGCACGTTATTCAGCGACGGCGGCGCGGCCGGCGCCGCGCCCGTCGCAGCCGCCGCGTTATCCGCGTCGCGGAACGACGCCGTCCCGGGCCTGCCGGCCGTGCGAGCGCCGCCGCCAATCCACTTCCGGCTGCGGTTCGTGAGATTCTTCAAGAAATCGTCGTGGCCGGAAGACGCGCCGGAATGAGCGGCGGCCGGCGCGCCGTCGCTATGCGCGGAGACGGCGGCGGAGATCGCCCAGTCGTCCATGGGGACGAGCCGGCCCGACGCGGGGTGCAGGACGGCCGGCACGCTCCAGCGCTTGGCGGCATTGCGGAGAGTGCGCGCGCGCGGAGGCTCCTCCGCTTCCATGATGTGAGGGTAGCGAGAGGAGGGTGGCGGATTATCGGCAAAACTTTGGCGAAAATTCTAGCGTTGCAGGTCCGGGAAGAAAGACGACGGAGGTTTCAAAAAGCGTGGTTTTGACCGTTATGGCAGACAATGTGAGCTGCCGTGCGCTCGACACCTAGTCTCCAGAGAACGAAAGACCCGACAACTATGTCCAGCAGCTGGGCTGACACCACACCACAAGTAGCTTTCCCCGGCAAATTCGAGGCTCAGCGACCTCAAGGCTCCGTTGGTGACTATGTCACTTGATCTAGCAAAGACTTGTTACCATTTTTTCGCCATCGGGATTGCAGCAGCGACGAAGAGCTTTGCGAATAAAGCTGTTTCGTGACTGGATGAAGTTGAAAGATCTTGAACTACACGATGGATACTTGGACCAGTAGGAACACATTACCATACTAAATAGAGTACAGCAAAAAGTAGCATTAACAGGTGCCACTTTTTCATCAACGCATCATTTCTACTAGTGCTTCCTTTGTGGCTCCTATAACGATGCAAGGACCACTTCACGCATCAACGACACAGGAGCTGCAAAGCACGCACACAGGGGGGTGGGGGTTACAACAGAAAAAGGGAGTGAATACATCAACACAAGCTCATCAAACAAACGACACAAGGGCGCAAACAGGATAGCGCATGACGTAAGCTAAAAACTTCACATACATACGTATAAAAGTACACCCACCTGGCTTTCCAGTGAAGAGCTCGAATTGTCGAGCCGCCTGGCCAACAAACATCTCAACGCCGCTGACTGTTGCAGCTCCTGCCTGCTTCGCCTCCTTGAGCAGGCGGGTCTCCATGGGAGTGTATACCGCGTCGAACACCAAACTGCACTCCTGCAGCACAGCCTGCTTGGGATCAGTAGGGGGGGGGGGGGGGCATTTGTTAGTGGAGGCTCCTGCCTGCTCCGCCTCCTTGAGCAGACGGGTTTCCATGGGGGTGAATACCGCGTCAAACACCAGACTGCACTCCTGCAACACAGCCTGTATGGGAACATGGGAAAGGAAAGGATTCCAACACGTGTTGGTGGATGCTGTAGAGGCTCCTGCTTGCTTCGCCTCCTTGAGCAGACAGGTTTCCATGCGGGTGTACACCGCGTCAAACACCAGACTGCACTCCTGCAACACAGCCTGTATGGGAACATGGGAAAGGAAAGGATTCCAACACGTGTTGGTGGATGCTGTAGAGGCTCCTGCTTGCTTCGCCTCCTTGAGCAGACAGGTTTCCATGCGGGTGTACACCGCGTCAAACACCAGACTGCACTCCTGCAACACAGCCTGTATGGGAACATGGGAAAGGAAAGGATTCCAACACGTGTTGGTGGATGCTGTAGAGGCTCCTGCTTGCTTCGCCTCCTTGAGCAGACAGGTTTCCATGCGGGTGTACACCGCGTCAAACACCAGACTGCACTCCTGCAACACAGCCTGTATGGGAACATGGGAAAGGAAAGGATTCCAACACGTGTTGGTGGATGCTGTAGAGGCTCCTGCTTGCTTCGCCTCCTTGAGCAGACAGGTTTCCATGCGGGTGTACACCGCGTCAAACACCAGACTGCACTCCTGCAACACAGCCTGTATGGGAACATGGGAAAGGAAAGGATTCCAACACGTGTTGGTGGATGCTGTAGAGGCTCCTGCTTGCTTCGCCTCCTTGAGCAGACAGGTTTCCATGCGGGTGTACACCGCGTCAAACACCAGACTGCACTCCTGCAACACAGCCTGTATGGGAACATGGGAAAGGAAAGGATTCCAACACGTGTTGGTGGATGCTGTAGAGGCTCCTGCTTGCTTCGCCTCCTTGAGCAGACAGGTTTCCATGCGGGTGTACACCGCGTCAAACACCAGACTGCACTCCTGCAACACAGCCTGTATGGGAACATGGGAAAGGAAAGGATTCCAACACGTGTTGGTGGATGCTGTAGAGGCTCCTGCTTGCTTCGCCTCCTTGAGCAGACAGGTTTCCATGCGGGTGTACACCGCGTCAAACACCAGACTGCACTCCTGCAACACAGCCTGTATGGGAACATGGGAAAGGAAAGGATTCCAACACGTGTTGGTGGATGCTGTAGAGGCTCCTGCTTGCTTCGCCTCCTTGAGCAGACAGGTTTCCATGCGGGTGTACACCGCGTCAAACACCAGACTGCACTCCTGCAACACAGCCTGTATGGGAACATGGGAAAGGAAAGGATTCCAACACGTGTTGGTGGATGCTGTAGAGGCTCCTGCTTGCTTCGCCTCCTTGAGCAGACAGGTTTCCATGCGGGTGTACACCGCGTCAAACACCAGACTGCACTCCTGCAACACAGCCTGTATGGGAACATGGGAAAGGAAAGGATTCCAACATGTGTTGGTGGATGCTGTAGAGGCTCCTGCTTGCTTCGCCTCCTTGAGCAGACAGGTTTCCATGCGGGTGTACACCGCGTCAAACACCAGACTGCACTCCTGCAACACAGCCTGTATGGGAACATGGGAAAGGAAAGGATTCCAACACGTGTTGGTGGATGCTGTAGAGGCTCCTGCTTGCTTCGCCTCCTTGAGCAGACAGGTTTCCATGCGGGTGTACACCGCGTCAAACACCAGACTGCACTCCTGCAACACAGCCTGTATGGGAACATGGGAAAGGAAAGGATTCCAACACGTGTTGGTGGATGCTGTAGAGGCTCCTGCTTGCTTCGCCTCCTTGAGCAGACAGGTTTCCATGCGGGTGTACACCGCGTCAAACACCAGACTGCACTCCTGCAACACAGCCTGTATGGGAACATGGGAAAGGAAAGGATTCCAACACGTGTTGGTGGATGCTGTAGAGGCTCCTGCTTGCTTCGCCTCCTTGAGCAGACAGGTTTCCATGCGGGTGTACACCGCGTCAAACACCAGACTGCACTCCTGCAACACAGCCTGTATGGGAACATGGGAAAGGAAAGGATTCCAACACGTGTTGGTGGATGCTGTAGAGGCTCCTGCTTGCTTCGCCTCCTTGAGCAGACAGGTTTCCATGCGGGTGTACACCGCGTCAAACACCAGACTGCACTCCTGCAACACAGCCTGTATGGGAACATGGGAAAGGAAAGGATTCCAACACGTGTTGGTGGATGCTGTAGAGGCTCCTGCTTGCTTCGCCTCCTTGAGCAGACAGGTTTCCATGCGGGTGTACACCGCGTCAAACACCAGACTGCACTCCTGCAACACAGCCTGTATGGGAACATGGGAAAGGAAAGGATTCCAACACGTGTTGGTGGATGCTGTAGAGGCTCCTGCTTGCTTCGCCTCCTTGAGCAGACAGGTTTCCATGCGGGTGTACACCGCGTCAAACACCAGACTGCACTCCTGCAACACAGCCTGTATGGGAACATGGGAAAGGAAAGGATTCCAACACGTGTTGGTGGATGCTGTAGAGGCTCCTGCTTGCTTCGCCTCCTTGAGCAGACAGGTTTCCATGCGGGTGTACACCGCGTCAAACACCAGACTGCACTCCTGCAACACAGCCTGTATGGGAACATGGGAAAGGAAAGGATTCCAACACGTGTTGGTGGATGCTGTAGAGGCTCCTGCTTGCTTCGCCTCCTTGAGCAGACAGGTTTCCATGCGGGTGTACACCGCGTCAAACACCAGACTGCACTCCTGCAACACAGCCTGTATGGGAACATGGGAAAGGAAAGGATTCCAACACGTGTTGGTGGATGCTGTAGAGGCTCCTGCTTGCTTCGCCTCCTTGAGCAGACAGGTTTCCATGCGGGTGTACACCGCGTCAAACACCAGACTGCACTCCTGCAACACAGCCTGCTGGTGAACACACGACACGAAAGGAAACATGTGCATGTTTTGGTGAAAGTGTGTGTACTGTAGAAGTGTGACAATTGTGGAAGTGTGCACATGGTGCCCATCCGCCAGGAACAGCACAATCCCACATTGTTTACCTTGCCCACAGGAGTATCGTCCACGTGAGGGTGCATGCCAACAGACGTGGGGTTAGAGGTGACCGCTCAACCCCTTCAGCCCTGCATTGCGGAAACTAACCTTGCTGACAGGAGTATCATCCACATGAGGGTGCATGCCCACAGAAGTCGTATTCGCCAGCACAGCACGCCCACTCCTCCCTCTCTGCATCTCCTGCAACACCGCCGCCAGCTCATCCGCTGCCACGTCACCAGAACCGGACGGCAGAGGCACGGCAGTGCCGCCCACAGCCGCAGCCAGCGCCTCCGCCTTGCCATAGCTCCTATTCGTTATAATCACATCCGCGCCCCTCTCCTTAGCACCGAAGGCCAGAGCCCTCCCGGCACCCCCCGCCCCTACAACCACAAAGAGGCGCCCGGCGAGCGGGGAAGAGAAAGCTTCCTCATTGCTACTGCCTCCTTCTGCCTGCCTGAGTCCATCCTCGATGGTCTCTATGGCCGCCATGCAGTCTGTGTTGTACCCCATCAGCCGCCCGCCCTCCCCCCGAATGATGGTGTTGGCAGCGCCTATGCTCTGCCAAGGGGACCATCGCATGCGAATAGGTGGTAGAGAGAGGGAGAGAGGCGGAGTATATGCACTTGACGCTGACATGTGTCTTTTAGATGAGATGGGACGTGTGTCACATTCACTGCATTGAACAATGGAATGGAACCGTGTCGTGACACACAATTACTCACTTGAGCAATGCCATGCTCCCCTTGACAAGGGCTTCCGCAGGGTGGTAGTAAGGAGGGACGGAGACACAGAATGGTGTGCGTGTCAAGTGAGCGCACACGGATATATACCAGGAAACAGGGTCATATCAGCAAGAGCAGATGAGCAAGGTCACAACAACATGGTCACCTTGGCAAGAGGCTCCACATCTTGGCAGCACTCCAACGCCGCGAGCTTGTGCGGAATGGTCACACTGGGTGGTGGGAACGAGAAGGGGGCAGGGGGTGTTGTGGTGGGGGGGTGGGGGAGAGAGTGTTGGGAGGGGGGGGGAACAAGAGGTGAGGTGAGGAGAAGCGAAGGGGACAGCTAGTGGAACGCATACAGGGCACTGTTGTGTGAAGAAAGAGGGAGGAAGAAGAAAGCAGTGACATCCTGAGAGGCCCTGGTCCACTCCACCCACCTGAACCCCTTGAAGTCCAGGCTGTCAAAGGCCTTCAAGAACTCTGGCACCTCATCCACGAGAAACGGCACGTACACGCCGTCATACCCCACATGCCGCAGCGCTGCATTGTGCAGCACAGGGCCCTTGCTGTGCCATACAATCACCTCTTTCCCACTCTCTCCACCCACCTGAACCCCTTGAAGTCCGGACTGTCAAACGCCTTGAGAAACCCCGGCACGTCGTCCACGAGGAAGGGCACGTACACGCCGTCATACCCCACATGCCGCAGCGCCGCATTGTGCAGCACAGGGCCCTTGCTGTGCCCCACCGGGTTCCCCACCAGCCCAAACACGTGCGTTGCCGGGCCCACCCCCGCCAGCCTGTACGTGCCCGCCAGCTCAGCGACCGTCGGCTGACCTGGCGCTGACTCAGCGCCCGGGGCGATCGCCCCGAATGTGAGGAAGGCGTTGAATTTGGGCGCGAGGAGGCGGCTGATGAGGCCCTTGGGTCCCATGACCAGCGCTATGGTGGGACGCTGGAAGAGAGGGTGGAGGAGGAATTGGGGAGGAGAGAGGAGAGAAAGGAAGGCAATGCAGAGCAGACGTCATTGAATTTGGCTGCGAGGAGGCGGCTGATGAGGCCCTTGGGTCCCATGACCAGCGCTATGGTGGGGCGCTGGGGGGTGGGGAAGGGGAGGGAGAGTATGAGGGGTGGGGAGGGAGAGGGTAGAGTAAGGCAGACAAAGCAGGGCAGATGTCATTGCCTTTGGGCGCGAGAAGGCGGCTGATAAGGCCCTTGGGTCCCATTACCAGAGCTATGGTGGGGCAAGCAAGGGGGAAGAGGGGAGAGAAAGGCAAGCAATGCAGGACAGACGTCATTCCCTTTGGGCGCGAGCCTTGAGCAGGCGCGCGCGTGGACCAAGGCGCGCGCGGACCAAGTCGACTGACTGGCAGTGCCGACTGTGATATCAGTGGCTGTGGTGGCGAAGTTCACAATGTCTGCCTGCACCAGCAGCCTTCTGAGGCGCCTCTAGAATCGCCTAATCATGCTGACACCCACCGTCCCTCCCACCCACGCACCCACCTGAGCCTCTTTGAGTATTTGGAACACGCGTGCATTGTCAGTGATATCAGTGGCCGTAGTGGCAAACTTCACAATGTCGGCGCCGGCAGCCTCTATGCGCGCCACCAGCACCCGCAGCTCCTCCAGCGGCGGAGTCACGCTGTAGTTGTGGCTCGATACAATCACACGCGTTGCTGTCACACCGTCACCAGCAGCAGCAGCGGCGGCACGGCGGGGTGCAACGTGCTTCTGGATGAAATCGGAGGCGACCTACGGAGGGGAGGGAGAGGGGGGTGTGGGGAGAGTCACGCTGTAGTTGTGGCTCGATACAATCACACGCGTTGCTGTCACACCGTCACCAGCGGCAGCAGCGGCGGCACGGCGGGGTGCAACGTGCTTCTGGAAGAAATCGGAGGCGACCTGAGGAGGAGGGGGACAGAGAGGGGTGTGTGGGGAGACAGGAGCATTCACACCGTCACTGTCCCTGTCACTGTCACCACCACTGTCACCAGCAGCGGCGGCGGCAGCGCGGCGTGGTGCAACGTGCTTCTGGATGAACTCGGAGGCGACCTGAGGAGGAGGGGAGGGCAGATGGGAAGGTGTGGGGTGCAAGGCGAGAGAGAGAGAATCGTGAGGCTCAGGGGAAGGAGGCTCGAGAGTCAAGATTCTAAGATGAGCTCTAACAAATTAAGCTCTTCATTCGTCACCATTGCTAGCCACAACCCCGTCGCTACACCCTGTACGCGTTATGGTTACCTGCAGCTCGGCGTCAATGAACTCGGCGCCCATGTCCATGGCCATCACCTTATGCTACACCCTGTACGCGTTATAGCTACCTACCTGCAGCTCGACGTCAATGAACTCGGCACCCATGTCCATGGCCATCACCAGCACCTGCTGCCGCTTCTCCTCGTCCGGGTCCGCGTACTTGCCACCCTCCCACGTGGGGCTGCATGGGGGGTTAGGGATGTTGGGCGTGGATTAAGAAAGGTTGAGCTTAGGGAAAGGAACGGTATGAGTGGTAGGACCAGTAGCAGCGCGCGGTCAGCATTCTAGTGACAGGATGCCAGCACCTTAGCAGGATAAGGGAACAAGTTTTGAGGCGCCTCAAAGGAACGGTATAGGTGGTAGGAGCACTAGCAGCGTGCTGTCAGCATTCTAGTAACTGACAGGATGCGAGCACTTCAGCAGGATAGGGGAACGTACCGGCATGTGACAATAACGGGAAGACAGCGGTCGTTTAGGAGCGCAGGGAGGTCAACGCTCGGGTCAAACTCGGTCAAATGGTCAACGCGGAGTTCTGCCGTGTCCGCTCCCGCCGCCTTCGCTTGCGCCATCTGCTCGCGCATTCCCCCCACCGTCGTCGCCGTCACCGCCGCGCATATCCTGCACCCGCTGCGCGAATCCACGCCGCCAGCGGACGCGCTGACGTCAGTCGCCGGAGCTGCCGCGTCAGCCATGGTTCCTGTTGACGTGGGCGAGTCGACGGCCGTGGATGCTCGACACGCGGCGGAACGCTGAGGAGTAGCGGAAGAGCGGACGGCGATTAAAGGGAGCAAGGCGACGCGGGATCCGGAAGAAAGGGAGGGCCTTGCGACGTTGGTGGGGGAGACTGTGGGAGTAGCAAGCGAGGGGAGCACGGCTGTGCCGAGACGGAACGCAACAGCCATCGGGGAAAGAGGAATAATAACCCCGAAATCCCTCACGATATACTGTTGATGCCCGTGAGCCCGCACGCGTGGGGGCTGCTCGCTGCCTGCTTGCTAACCACTTCCAGTAACCCTAACCCTAGAATGCTGGCGGAAGCAGCGAATGGAGGAAGAGGAGAGAAAGGCAGGCGACAAACGAGGCAGCTGTGCTGTAAATAGCAGCTTGAAAATTACAGGCATTCACCCTTTTACAAGTTTGTAACACTGGAGCGGCTTCGTTCTCAGACCCGAATGGGACTCGTTCTGGCGAAGCATAGCTACACATGCAATCGCGGGGTCTGGTTACGAAATGGCCCGCTCGACTTGCTTCACAAGCCTTTCGCATGAATACACGAACGTCCAGTTTCGACCCAACCCATCTCCAAAACAGTTGAACGGTCGCGATGAGCCGAGACTCCCCAATTTTATTTTTCGTCGTGAGTGTTGCGTGGCGATCGCAAAAAGGAATCGCTGCACCACGAACCTCGCGAAAATATTTTCCGAAGCACATTTATCCAGACCCAATGCCCCAGAGCACATACTCATTCCCATATACCTGTCTGAGACCTCAATTTTATACCACACACCCGCAGCTCGTACTCCCCGCAATGGCTTCTCTCGTCGGCTATGACTATGATTCGGACGACTCTGATCAAGGAGAGTGCGGCGCGCAGGAACCAACGGAAGGACCGGCGCAGGCCGGTCTAACACAGCGCGCCGAACCAGGGAGGGTTGATGCAGCTGAAACCGGAGGTTCCGCAAAATCTTTCGTGGGTCATCCAGACTCTCGCCAGCTTTCATGTCCTGGCAAATCAGCACTTTCTAACGAATCAGGCCAAGGAAAATCTTCGTCGCCATCGGGCATGGGGCTCGTGCTTGGAGGACGGGGCGACGTTGTCCTCACTGGGCACTCAGACGCTTCTTGGGTTGACGACCAGGCTACGCAGCGGTCGTCACAGGGTTACACCTTCAGTCTTGGCTCTGGCTCTGTTTCTTGGCGGTCTACACGCTCGTCTTCTGTTCTCAGCTCCAGTTGTGAGGCTGAGATCTACGCCACAGCCATGGCTGCACAGGAGTTACGCTGGCTCACCTACCTGCTGACCGACTTGGGAGAGCGGCCTCGTTCTCCTCCAGTTCTGTACGTAGACAACAAGGCCGCCATTGCCTTGTGTCAGGAGCACAGACTGGAGCACAGAACGAAGCACATCGCTCTGCGTTACTTCCTTGCTTGAGAGTTGCAGCAACGTGGTCAGCTTCGTCTTGCTCACGTGGCCACTCGGGCCAACACTGCTGATATATTCACCAAGGCACTTCCACCTGGTGATCAGGGCCCAAATTTCAAGGGTAAAATACCCTTTTTGCCCTGATGGTAGGCCGCTTTTTGGCAGTTACCCTTGTGAAATCAGGCTATGAAAGTTTTTACCCTAGTGAAATCAGGATTCGTTGTAAACTACACTGGTAACAATTTTGGTTACACTGGCTGTATCAGGGTACGGGCCCAACTACACTTTTACCGGATCTTTTTTTAACCGAGGATTCCGCCACAGTGCGCGCCAAGACAAAATTCTCCACGGTCCCACTGGACCATTTGTACGGTATGCCCACTGGCGCGCCAACGTAGAAGCAGTGCGGCTGCACGCGCGCTCGTACGATTGGTCCGTTAAGCAAGATTTGCGCCAACGCACCCGGGTTTAGGGCGTTACTGTTTGTCAAACAGCCTAACAACAATTCTACCCTGGTACAATCAGTGTAACAGGATTTTTTGGCTGTTTTAGGCTGCTGGCATCAGGGTACGGAAATTTTTACTCTAAGGGTCAGGGTACGGGGGGCCTGGTACCCTGATTTGCAAGAGTGGACCTAAACCTATTTTGGGCCCTGCTGGTGATCATCAGCGCTTTTGTACTTTGTTAGGCCTTGTGCCCACGTTTCCTCACTTGCTGTAGACTTTGCTTGTACATTCATTGATATATATATATATATATATATATATATATACCTGCATGCTTGCTCTTGCTAGGTAGTGATCAATGTGTTGATGTTGTTGCATATATACCTCTGCATGTGAACTGGCCTTGTGGCCCTCTGCTTGTGCTCAGTTTGTGTGGTGACGTTGTGATCCACCCTGAGCTTGCTTTGCTTCTCTTGACTGGTCTTGTGACCCCTTGCTCTCCCCCACTTTGCCTATGGGGGTGTGTCAAATTATATATGTGCTACATATGTGTAGGCTGTAGTGGGGTAGCTAATATGGGGTATAGCCCCTTTAGGGTTTCATACTTGTACCAAACTTTGACCTAGTTCATTCACTTCTGCTAGTTGCTTTTGACATGGTATCAGAGCGGTCTCGGGTTCGAATCCCGGTGTATGCATATGCAGGCCGTTGCCGCTGTGCCGAGTCCTGGACCTCCCAGTGTGGGGGGGTGTCAGAAGACTTGCACTGTGAGATCCCCGATTGATCCTTGGAGGGTTACAGGCATGTTAGTGTCAAGACTAAGGCAAGGGAATGAATCAACTATCGAGGAGTTTGGTACAAAAGTGAAACGTAAGAGGTTGTACCCCACAGTGAGTACCCCACTAAGCCTACCCAAACTATAACATATAAATATATGTTTGACACACCCCCATAGGCAAAGTGGGGGAGAACAGAGAGTCACAAGACCAGTCAGGATGTGTAAAGCAAGCTCAGGGTGGATCACAACATCACCACGCAGTCTGAGCACAAGCAAAAGGCCACAAGGCCAGTTCACATGCAGAGATATATACGTAACAACAACAGCACAGTGATCTCTACCTACCAGAGCAAGCACGCAGGTATATATATATATATATATATATCACAGTACAAACAAAGCCTACAGCAAGTGAGGAAACGTGGGCACAAGGCCTAACAAAGTACAGAAACGCTGATGATCACCAGGCGGAAGTGCCTTGGTGAATATATCAGCAGTGTTGGCCCGAGTGGCCACGTAAGCAAGACGAAGCTGACCACGCTGCTGTAGCTCTCGAGCAAGGAAGTAACGCAGAGCGATGTGCTTCGTTCTGTGCTCCAGTCTGTGCTCCTGACGCAAGGCAATGGCGGCCTTGTTGTCGACGTACAGCACTGGAGGAGAACGAGGCCTCTCTCCCAAGTCGGTCAGCAGGTAGGTGAGCCAGCGTAACTCCTGTGCAGCCATGGCTGTGGCGTAGATCTCAGCCTCACAACTGGAGCTGAGAACTGAAGACGAGCGTGTAGAACGCCAAGAAACCGAACCAGAGCCAAGGCTGAAGGTGTAACCCTGTGACGACCGCTGCGTAGCCTGGTCGTCAACCCAAGAAGCGTCTGAGTGCCCAGTGAGGACAACGTCGCTCCATCCTCCAAGCACGAGCCCCATGCCCGATGTACTGCACAAGTAGCGTAGTACCCTCTTAGCAGCATCCATGTGCACCTTTCGGTGCCGACCAGGAGCCACGTAGCGAGCCAGAAGGCCAAGAGGGTACGCAAGGTCAGGACGAGTGCGGGTCATCAGGTACATGAGGCAGCCCAGTAGCTCTGGGTAAGGACCACTCGGCTCTACGGACTCGTCCGAAGGTGGAGCTGAGAGCGAG